GAGACTTCAACATCGATGTTTCGAAGCAGGAGAATGTTGAGTTTATCGATTTTATGTCGAAATATCTTCGGTTGAATTTGGCATCTAACCCCTCCCAAGCGACTACCCTTGGTGGTTCATGTATTGACCTAACGTTCTTCAGAAATATTCGGGCAGAATGTATGCGGTACTGTTCGTACTTCTCGTATCACAGGCCAATTTTGTCGATACTGGAAATCTAAAATTGTGGTAAGTTTTATATCCAACTCGGTATGACAAACGAACCATTTCACTAAAATTCTTGTATATACGCACTTCTCATTCGATCCACAGCTGTATCATCGATGCCATCCACCATGCCTAAGGTGAATCATCAATCCAACATCGTGTCATGTTCTCGACCGTATTGCAGGGCCTCCATATTGCCCAAGGTCTAACACTCCGAGGACAACATCAATCTCGGAAGGCACTTCATCAACCATCAACTGGTTATACAAAACCACCCAAAAACAATCGGCCCTTTTCAGGGCCACCACAACTTTCTACAAAAGAGTTGAGTTATGAAATTCTCTTAATTCCAAAACAATATCCGAAGCAACAAACTAGCAAATCGAACAAAAATTTCGTAGTTCTACGTCAACAATGCGGTTGTGTCATGTACACCACCCTCCAACTTTTTGATGATAAAAACGGCACTGGACCAGGCAGCAAATCTCTCCAAATTGCAGGCTCATGGCGAATGTATTACGACCACGGAACCATCACTATGGGACTCCGTTTACAGGGGCACCGTAGTCAGTCGATTCCCGTTCCATCGGAGGACAGAACATTGGATTGCAGACGATGAAGAATTCGTGGAAATTAATGACTAGTTCCTGGGAACGGAAGTGCGCCAGATTATGTGCACTGAGATCAGCTACCAAAGAATGCCAAATTTATGAGAACACGGAGCGAATTTTGGTGGCCCTGGCCAGCAAGATCATCAAGGATTGACTTGCCTCTCGTGTAAAATCCATTTTTGATTAAACGAATGTCAAATGTACACTTTAAACCAAATATAGTCAAACACAAAAAAAAACAACTGTCAGACTAAGTGTAATATTCGCAAATATCACACATATTAAAATATTTAATATTTCCACCATCGGTATTGATACTCATACTTGGAGCAGTCCTTCCCCTAGGGGGTTAGTGGAATTTCCTATGTTTCGAGGGGTGAACCGATTAGCTTGGGACCGAAGATAGTACCAGAGCTGAGCCAAAAAGTAGAGCTCGTTTCTTCGGGACCTACTAGTCTTAGAGTTACCTCTATGGCTTTACTTCCCTTCAGAGATGTTATGCCTTAGAACATCCCGGCGGTGCCGACTGGAATTGAACCCAGACATGACATACTGATTCCGATCAATAGCGGTGTGGCTTCTTCTTCCTTTTATGGATGCTCATGTGAACGCAGCTTGTTGCTTGCAGTCAGCCTTTCGTTGTGTACTGGATAACAATGATCAACGCCACGCCACACCCGAAAGCACTGCTGCTGCTGCTTCTGCTGATGCCGACGACCGGACACCACCACACACGGTGGTTGGAACTGAATCCGATCAGCGGTTGTGGGCAGCCTTGATAGAAAGCTGCTTGCGGGGAGCCTTTTCGTTGTGTACTGGAGAACACCACCACTCACCACGCCGTGATAAAATAAACACCGTTTCGTGAGACCGGATGGAATTCAACTTTGAAATCTGTGTTAGGGAAATCGCTTTTCGCAGGCAATCGGTGATAATTTTAATTATCATAGCAACAGTTGCACATTCGTGCAATTTTCAATAGTGACATGTTGAAAAATGATAATGTTTTAAATTTAATACATGCGTAGAAATATTTCTGATCGATTGGTGATAAAATTATTGAAATTGGTACAGGGGCAGCTGAGTTATTAACGTTCAAAATCTTTCATAATTTTGTTACATGTTCCATTTTTGGTTTTCACAAAGTGTACCCCCATATAGAAATCACAGACGTAGTTCTACGTCAAAAATGTTTTCAAAAACGACACGGACTCCAGTTGAGACTACACACTTGATGCATCCATCTCCAAGGATGCCCGCAACGGACGAGCTCCAGTGCTATAAGATCCTCTTCGGCGGAAGGCCGACCCCGCAGAACGAACGTCAATCATTAGTCAACCAGCCCTTCTGGGAGCCGACGGAGGAAACGGATTTGCACCGAATTTTTCACCGCCCGAGTATCATCCGGCGGAAAACTGAAAACCAACACCGGCTGGAACACACGACGGACTGATGAAGGACGCACCGCTGACCCGAAACGGACCAGCCAACTTCATTCAACCATAGAGGTAACTCTAAGACCAGAAGGTCCTGAAGAAATGTGGCTCAGCTCTGGTACTCTCTTCGGTCCCAAGATAATCGATGCACCCCTCGAAACATAGAAAAATCCACGGGCCTCTCATTTTATCTGTCAAACTTTCATAGTGAATCAAAACAAACATAGTGTAGTACTAAAGTTTCGTCTAGAATGGGGAACGTTAATCGATTTGCTTGGGACCAATAGGCTAGTCAAGTAGTGAGCCAATTTAAAATCGTTAGTTTCGTATTGATTGTTGATTCAACCGGCACAGCAACAGGACGCAGTGATGATGGTCTACGGACTCAATAACAACACAGCCAACACCGATAAGCTGTTCAATCTGTTCCAAAATCTGTTCTGCCTGTATGGAAATGTTGTCAGGATAAAATTCCTGAAGACCAAAGAGAGTACCGCCATGGTCCAGATGGGGGACGCCATCGCAGTCGAACCAGTCGAACGCAGCATCCAACACTTGAACAACATTGAATCAATGGAAATGATGGTAGCAAAATTCAAATTGCATTTTCCAAGCAGAACTACTTGTCAGAGTCCACCCTGCCGGACAATTCGATCAGCTTCAAAGTCTACAGCGCCTCCAAGAACAATCGTCTACCAGGCCAGCAAAAATCGCATTCTCCACTTCTTCAATACCCCACCCGTATGCCGTCCAAGGATCTGCTGCTGACTGCATTCACCACCAATGACAAGTGCGAATGTTCCCGCTAAAATCGGAAAGTTCCTCCTCCGGATTGGTCGAGTTCCCGAGCGTAGCCCTGGCGGTGAACGCCATCATGAATTGCAACCATCGACCATCGAGCATTGGAAGCAGCCGCAGCCGTGGGAGCTGCATCGCTAGTTCGTGTAGCCATGGCCGGAAACCTCGTCAGCTGTCAGCTGTTCTTCGTCTGGGAGGAAATGTGGATGCCACTTCCGTCACGGGTGTAACGATTTTGAGAATCCATGGCGAGACTTGATGGAGATTTACGGTTGTTTTGAAAATAATTTGATTATAGCAATAATAATAACAAATAATTAAAATTATGTTGGTAAATACACTGGTTATATTTAATAAAATATATATGGCAAAGAGCCTGGTGATCTTGTTAGTGATTCTATATTATTTGTGTATTTGTATCCACAAGCTTCTTCAGACGCTGCATGCTCCTAGTAAAAAAAATCGATTTACTGAGTCTATTCAGCAAAATTCTGCTAAATGACAGAATTTGGGATTGCTGAAAAAATCAGTAAAAATGAATTCTGAAATCTTTACTGATTTTCAGTAAAATGTTGTCATTTTGACAGAAATTGGAATTGCTGGAAGATACAGCAGCATTATTTTGCTGGTCTTTCATCAAGTCTAAAATAAGCAAAATTTTGATTTTCAGCGATTTAAATTTGGTCTGTATATCCTTATATCTGGAACGGCGTGCCCCACGCAACTACGCCCAAATCTCAAAGTTCTCCGGATTTAAGCTGGGTTTAAACAGGGCAAGTCAATTGATCAACTCAGTTGAATTCAACTGACTTGAACGCGAATTGAACGTGTAAACCATGCCATTCAACTGACTTGATCAACTCACTTGAATTGAAAAAAGTTGAACCAGGCTCAACTTTTCAAGCCAAGCAGATAAAATGACGTCTACTACCACTCGAACTTTGAAATAAAACATTATTTTGAGATGTTTTCTTCTAGAACCACGAGAAAAGTCGCCAACATTTGTGCGTTTCATAAAAAAATAGAAATTAGTTAGTCCAGTTTTGTGAAATCGCTGGTAGAAAGTCACGCCAAAACTGCTTGACAAAGTGGTCAATTGAATTCAACTGAAATGATCATTTGACTTGCCTAGTCTAAACCCAGCATTAGGGATTCTATCAACTTAGGCTCTGAACCATTTGGTGGATTATTTTAACTTTTGGTTAAAATTTGACAGATGAAAAGTTATCGATTAACCCTGCTATCCGAGCATGGTTATTTCTGACAGACAAGAAGTTAAATTTTGACAACCGTGGCTCGAAAACCGGTCGATCGACAGCACGGGGATTTTCGAACATAGAAAATAACTTTCGAAATGTCACTTTTAACCACGAGTTAAATTTAACTCGGCAAATGGTTCACAGCCTTAGTCCTTAAAACCTATATACCTCAGGTCGAGGTGCACACTGACAAAAAAATCGGTTTCGCACTTGTTCCAACCCGGATAAAATCGACAGTGAGCATTCATAAGGGCGTATAAGCGATGATCGATTCTCTTCATCGATTTTCTCTTTTGTTATTAACTCGCTAGATTTAACGTTTATCGGTACGTTTGCTGTTGCTTTTGATAGCCAGTACAACCTCTTACAACTCTGCATTGAACAAATTCTATAAAATTGTTTCGCTTAGCTGGAGCAATGCAAAGAGAAAAACGATGAAGAGAATCGATCATCGCGTATACGCCCTTATGCATGCTCACTGTCGAAATACAAGATTACTTAAGTGGTGATCGATTGGACGCCGACAAACGGACCGTCTACTGTATCTCGCACACGTGTTTCTTCGTCACTGTCAAGTAAGCAACGTACACAATCATGCCGATTTCCTTTCCCACACGCATACAGCCAAGTTTATGCTGTCAGCTACCGGAGCTCGCGAGCCATGTTGGAGGAAAGAAACACAATCTCCACACCACTCCGCAAAAGTATCATGATCGTCCACTTTTCTCTCGCCGCGTACGGTTCGGTGTAGTGTTGGTTGTCAGTTTCGTGCAAGCAGAATTTTTTTCGTGGTTATGTTCATCTAAATAGAGGAAATTTCGACCCGACTTCCCGTGCAGCATAAAGTTGATTAGAGCCTGCATCCGAAGTGATAATTTTTACGGGCGTAGAAAAGCGAAAGTGGACCATTTTGGGCGCATCGGCGATTCGGCCAAAAACGTGGTGATGTAACGTAGTGTGTGCTGCCCGTGATACGTTCTTGGAGAGTGCAAAGAAAAAGAAGTTTCGGAGATCAAAAATTTCCTTCACTTGATATTACACAGAGGTACGTTCGAGGTGGTTTCTCTCGGGCACCTTAGGAATATCGTTCGCTGCCGCTGCTGGTGGAATTTTTTCCCCCTTCTAGAAGCCATTGCCGTTCGATTGCTTCTATGGCGCAGTAAACTCGACGTGGTGATTTTGCAATTTTTCGGGTAAGTTGGTACAATTTTGTCCATTGTTGTTGTTTACCATCAGCTGATCGTGGTTATGGGTGTTTGTTTTGATTGGGAATGCAACTAGAGCTAACCTCATTCTTGGTCCATAACCTCAGAAAAATTTATGTTCCGTAGGTTTCAGGTTAGAAATTGCAGTTTCATTTCATTGAAGGCAGACATTCCTCCATGATAGCTTTTTTTTCGGTCTCTCGTTCATCATGAGCGCAGTTGAAACCCACACTCGCAAACTTTGGATAGACGTGTAAAGCCACTACTACTACTTCAAGTGGAAGGACTAACACATGCGCATCGTATTTTAATCAATGGCGAAATAGTACTTGTTGTAAACAATCGCCACTTTGATCAATGATCGATATTATGAATGAATGACGGAAAATGATTTTTGTTTTTGGTTTCAGAATTTGACATGGATTCAGCAGCATTCACGATCTGGGACCCATCCCAGCCGAATGCCAAGATGAAGATTATTAACATACCCGGGCAGGGCCCGGCACAGTTAATCGAAACAGTTTCCAACATTGGCGGAGCGTCTACATCCGGCCAAGCGGAGCAAATTATACTGCAAACCCACGACGGGCAAGAATTCCTGGTGGATGAAAATGAGATCGGTCGGATAGATCAGATTCCGCCGGAAAATCTGATCTACATGGCCGCCGACGATGGTTCTCTTATTCAAGGCGAAGTGGTACACGTTCAGTCGGATGATATCCATCAGGAAGTGATACAGCAGGATCAAGAATACATGGAATGTGAAGTGACGGAGGAAGTCATCACCGATGACTGGGTGCAGACAGACGGTCAGGAGTGTGTACAGGTCACCGTCGATCAGCTGGGAGCTACAGCCGTGGTAGGGTCAGCGGAGGATGACCTGGCGGTACCACTTCCGACGGATCAGGATGAATATACGACATCCCGCCCGTATCCGTGTGACTTCTGCCGGCGCAGGTTTAGGAAGAAAGCCAATTTAATGAACCACATAATAGCACATTCGAACGATAGGCCACACGTGTGCAACCTGTGTGGAGCACAGTATACGAGGCGAAGCGACCTGCTGAATCATTTGAAACTGCACGCCTACGTGCCGGATGACCACGAGGAATCACTGAGAAATGATCCGGATGAATGTAAGTGTATTCAATGGATCCCAGAATTGTTCAGCTATTAGAACGTACATTTATTAATTTCAGATGAATACGACTTGTCGGGATCTCCTTCACCCGACCTGAAACGACGATCGTTCTCCGAAGACGAAGATGACCTTTTGATTCCGGTTCCGACGCAATTCATGGCTCCTCCACCAGCACCGCTACCGCGAGTTCCGAAGAAGCCGCGGGCAAAACCCAGTGGAAGTTCTGCAAGATCCGGCAAAAAATCATCCACCTCAACGAGTCGATCTCGGCAGTCCCAGGCCCAGCGACATCAGGAAACCAAATTCAATCCTTCGGTGGAACCTTTCGTCAACCTGCCGCCTCGCTTTCCGGTGATCGACGATCGAAAGCCGTTCGTTTGTCAAAAGTGCGGCGTCTCGTTCGCCCGGGAGAAAGCACTTGCCTCGCACGCCCGCATCCATGGAGGAGATTCTCCGTTTGACTGCGAAACGTGCGGCCATCGATTCTGGGACCGAGTGATGCTGCAGGAACATATAAGGCAACGACATGCAGCCAATTTGGTCGCTGCCCCATTGGAGGAAGCCGGTATCCCTAGTGTAATGACCATCACTCGGGATGAAGCTGATCAGGGGAGTTCCAATGAGGAAGAAGTCGAAGGCCAATACTACTGCGACAGCTGCGGGACAATGTTTCAGCGACGGGAACTACTGAAACGGCACATCAAGCAAGTTCATGCCGTTCGGGAGCAAAAGTATGAACCGATTAGTCAGATTGTCCGCCAACGACAGCAGCATCAAAAGCAGAGATTGGAAGAGGATGACAACGAAGAAGAAGAAGATACGGAAAACCAGTACGAAGAAGAAACTGAATCGCAACAGCCGCTGTCTTGCAACGTGTGTGGAGATACATTTGTGGAAGCACTGGATCTGCTGGCTCATGCGGAAGTCCACGCACGGTTCGAACCGTACAAGTGTCAACTTTGCCGGGAAACTTTTCTGGACGAAAATGCTATCAAGGAACACGTCCAAAAACAGCACAGCCAGGAACTGACCGATACTTCGTGCGTGGTTTGTGGAAAACTTTGCAAGAACCATGCAGCTCTGCTGAAACATGCCTGGGAGCATTCGCGCGAGCGGACCAAGCTGTTTGGGTCACATTGTTGTTCGAAATGTGGCAAAACGTTCCACAACAAGGCCCGCCTCAAACGGCACATGGTTTCCCATCGAAACAAATCGGTCCGTTGCGAAATTTGCCAGGAAGAATTCCCCGATGGACGCAGCCTGATGAACCACCGGCATTCGCACACCAAAACCCGGCAATTTCCTTGCCACGAGTGTGGAAAAACTTTCGGTTCGCGATCTTCACAGCAAATTCACCTGAGGATTCACTCCGGAGAACGGCCCTACGGATGCCGGTAAGTTGATACTGAAAATGAATTTAAATGTTCGACCATAACGCATATTTTTTCCTCCTGTAGCTTCTGCTGGAAGGCCTTCGCCGATGGAGGAACCCTGCGCAAACACGAACGTGTTCACACCGGAGAAAAACCCTACGGTTGTTCCGTGTGTCCCCGTGCCTTCAACCAGCGAGTGGTGCTGAGAGAGCACATTCGATCGCACCACTCTGCATCGGATGCTAAACGGGGCACCGCTACGCAGCCGTATTTCTGTTCCGTTTGCACGCAACTGTTCGAAACGTCGATGGAACTGATACAGCATTTGATCCAGCACAGTGATATGAATACGGCGATGAAGCGGCAACCGCCAACCTTCCCGAGGAAATACAAACGAAGAAGGAAGCTCAAAACCGATGACACGGAGCAGGTGAAATACGGCAGCAAAGGCAAGAAGAAGGAAACCAATGTAACCTACGAAGAAACCGAACAGGGAGCTATGGATGATGAAGATTTGCTGAAAAATCCGGCTGAAATACTACTGGAGTACGGTGCTGGCACCTCGAACAAAAAGCTGATTGCATCCCCCAAATACATCAACTCGTACGATCTACTGGCTTCAACATCCGCAGAACATAACAAACCATCGACCGTAGACGATAATGGCATCAATTTGCTTAGCAACATCGTAGTGGTCACCAACCCTGGCACCAGCACCGATAGAACATTCAAATTTATAAAAACGGAATCTCCCAAAGGACGCGGAGGGAAACAAACAACGCCACCGGCTGGAACATCCGGTAATCATCCTCCTGGGTCATCCACATCCGGATCGCGCCCCCGAATGATCCACACCCAAAAAACACGAGTAGCAGTCAACGACGGAAAGCGTAAAACGAAAACCGTCATCACCAAAGACATCAAGAGCCACCCGGAAGGTGCGTCCACTCCGTACTCCACCTTGGAATTCAAACGCTCCAAAAACCGCACCGTTCCGACGTACCGGGAAATCCCGTCAGACAAAATATCCTCGGAAAGTTTCCCCCTGCTGGACGACGGTCGGGAAGACGACGGCGACGGGGACGATCAATCCGACTCCAACCAAGACGCTCTGGAAGCGTTATCCAGTTGCAACAGCCAACGCCACAAGCAAGAAGTGCCCAACTACGAAGATCTCCTGAACCAGAACCTCCTGATGGAAATCTCCCGCAAGGATAAATACATCGACAAATACAACAGCGACATCGTGAACGACCTGGAGGAAATCCTTCGTTCCCCCATCAAAAACTCCAACAACAATGTGCCACCAGCGGTCATCATGGCCACACCGAAAGCTAGTCACTACAGCAACAACAACAGCCAAGACGAACAGTACGACGAGGATGATTCTACGTTCACCGCCGACGAACCGGAGGAAAAACCACGGAAAGCCTCCCGCAAACAGCAGCTGAAGAAAATCAGCAAAGAATCCGCACAGCAATCGCTCACATCAGCCCTCCGCAGTCAGCGGCTAACCCGACGCCAGCTGGAACGGGAAGTCAATTTCCTACGGGAAGCCTACACCCCGGACCCGACGAACTCAGCTATGCGGATCAAGCAGGAAAAAGGGAGCCCGGATAAGCTTTCCGCCATGCTGCTGAACGACATTCAAAGTTCTTCTTCCTCTTCGGCTTCCATGGCTTTGATCAACCCGAAACAGGAACCGATGTCGGATGCTCAGGCTGAGGAACCACCGGCACCTCCTGCTCCAGTACACATATTTCAGTGCGAAATGTGTTCGGCCGTATTCAACGAACGCTCTCAGCTCTTGCTGCATGTACCGGTTCACATCTGATAAAAACAAATCGCCGAATTTCAGGACAAGATAACCAATCATTTGTTTCACTTTCCCGAACGTTGTTCAGGATAAATGTACCCTTAAGTTTGGAAAGTGATTGTAAAAAAATAAAGTTACAACGTTGATTGAAAAATGGTTGAAGATGTTAATTTTGAAATTACAATTGAAATAAAATCGTGAAATTAGACATGGGTGTGTTTTGACAAAATATTCGAACCTCGCTCTTTTATGCGACCAGAAGGTGCAGTTTCCAAAATGTATGATTAACATATCTTATCAGTAAGTATAGGTAGGTAGGTACATCGATTTCACTGAGCACTGATGTTTATGCGTTAAACTTGTATGAAGAATACAGTTTAAATGTAAACAAGAATATGATTGAATATTTAAAAACACCACTGTCAGTCGCTATCTATGCATTGAAAAGTTAAAGCATATTTTTGATTTATTTTTAATTAACGTCATGCGAGGAGAATGGGGTAAGTGGAGACACAAACTACATATCAGTTTGAAACTTAGGTCAAGAACTTTACTGCCGCTATTAGCATAACAGTCCCATGTACTATAGATAGAAAATCCAAGGCTGTTACAAGATTTTAAACATTTGATCCGTGAAATCCGCGATTTTTTCAAAATAAATCCGCGACTTCAAATACTAATCCGCGGCAAATTAAAAACTACTTTCATTGCTTAAAAAAACCATTTGCATTACTACTACATGGCATTTCAAGCATATTGCTTAAAGCATATTAGCTTTTTGCCTTAGTATCCTTTGAAACACTTCCACATTTTAATTGAGAGCTTTCTATGGCTGGACCAACCTATGCCCAAGGAAGATGAGAAATTTTCCAACCCGAACAATTAATAGACCAGACGGAAATTGAAACCAGCCGCCTCCAGCCTGGACTTCTTCGTAGCTGCGCCTTTATCGACTGAGCTAGGGGAGTATCGTTTGTACCCTTGAGAAAAAAAAATATAATTTTCAGTAATTTATGTTCTTGGTAGTATAAATTCTAAGTATTTTAGTGAACATAATAAAACACCCTTATATTATGAGATTCTATTGAAGTACGGTTCGGGCAGCCTGGGTGGCCGAGTGGAACAGCCTTAGATATCCTTTTATATGAAAAATCAAAGGTGATACGCATAAATGGGAGGACCTTCCCATATTCTAAACAAGTAACTGGCCATGCGCGTTTCTCACACAACATGGGGGACAGTAGGAACTTCAGAACACTGTGTGAGACTTGCCAAACGCGACTTTCCGTTGAACACGCCATCATCGAATGCCCGGCATATCAGTCCCATCGGGAGCTCCACGGTATCCCCAGCAGCATTAGGAACGCCTTTAAAAAAATGACAAATCCACCACATCGGCTCTTATCTGTTTCCTAAAACACACTCAATTATACGATCTCAAATACATATGATCCCGAAAAAATCTAAGGAAGGACAGCACACCATACGGCCTCGCAAAAACTGCCACAAATCAATGCTACAACTCCCACATACGATGAAGATCCTGCTTCCAACAACGGACATGATCTGGAGACGAACAACGATACTCAACATGGCAACGACCCGGCTTTCCGACAGAAACAACGTAAAAACCCAAATCTCTAGTTACTGTAATATCGTAACTATTACCGAAGACAACATATCAAGAAGACTGGCAACTCTTCCATTTTCTCATACGAACGCTATGAGACAGGTACAATCGCGTCATCTGCCGCTCAAAGGTAAATGCTTCGAATGAATTTGATAGCAAAGATTACAATCCTCAGAAGAAAGGTTTGTGTATTTGCTCATTTTTCTATGCGTTGCTTACACCTTCACTCAAGCGCAGCGCTACTGTATCTCTCGTTTGGATTCTGGCAAAGGTGCCAGTCTTCTTGATTTGAAGTCTTTGCCCAGGGGGGCCTCTAACGCCCTCTTCTATGAAATTACAGAAGATGAATCATATTTGCAAGGATTCTGCTCGTGTTCGGGAATATTTTTGCCGAAAAAAATGCAAAATTCCAATAATGCCCTAGTGGTTATGATCTTCCAGATTTCTTGTGCGTGAATAGTTTAGGTGCAAATCAGTTCAGATGTGTGGAAAATCGTAAAATAAGACAACTACTGATGGAAACTGGCAAGATGTTCAATGAAAAATGCTTTAATTTGCGTTGTGAAAAATCCTTCTTCTGATGTAAACAAGCAGTTTAGTTGACGTTTCCTCTCGAACTCGTGTGGTGCCCTCTACGTTGGTGGTGCATTAAAAAGGCCAATAAACTCAGGGAAAAACAATACCTACAAAAACTTAAAAGTTATTCATTGTCACATGCCTCTAATTCTACTTATTTCCTAAACTATTCTTCTCCTTGTTAATCTGCTTAATGCTATTGATCTGCTTGCGTTTTCTTATTGAGCTATATAGGAAGATTAATTCTACACCTTTAAAGGCTAGTTGCCTCCCCAAGCGGACCCCCGCACCGACAAACCGACATGAAACTTAAATTTAACTTTCGCTCGAAAATCTATAACGGCCGATTCAAATGTGCAGCGATACCATCTGTCACAACCATAGTCTAGTCTAGTCTAGTCTACACATACACAGCCAGTACTTGAAAGAATCCTGGAGCAGCGATACCATCTGTCACAACCATAGAAACTTTTCATCTAGATAAAAATAAATTGTCCAGAATAGATCAGATACGAACCAACTCATACATTGTGCACTCGTTTTCGTGGCTGAGCTAAACGTTTTCTGCGAACACGGAGACAGATCTTAGTTCGTCCCAGTGCTTCACTTTGAAGTTAGTTTCGATGTTATCCATTTGTCAACTTGTCGCTTCAAACATAGTTTACCCAGTTCTCGGTAGGTTCTGTTTTGACCGATCTGGGAGGATTCTACCCAAATTTGGGTAGTTTTTATATAGCGTGTAGTGTGTTGCTGGAGTTCGTGCAGGAGTGCAGCATCTGAGCGTTTGAGCCCAATGTGATGTAAGCACTGTAAGCAGGTGACTTTACTTACTTACTTAAGTGTCCTGTGCACCACCAGCGGTGCAAAGGGCCAACGTGAAAGACTTCCATCCTGGGCGGCTACTCGCTTTTGCCTTGACCTGGGCCCAGGTCAGATTCCTATCGACTTGCTTAATTTCCTTATTGAGGCTCCGCCGCCATGAGCCCCTGGGTCTGCCTCTGCTGCGATGTCCTGCCGGATTCCAATCCAGCGCTTGCTTGCAGATTTCGTTTCCGCTCCGTCACCTCCACTTTCGCTCTCGAATTTCTGTTGCTATCGGCTTCTGATGACATCGACGATGGAGCTCGGCATTCGAGATCCAGTTGTGAGGCCACCAGGCACGAATTATATACCGCAGGCATCGGTTGATGAAGACCTGCAGCTTTTGAGTGTTCTCCACTGATACACACCACGTCTCGCTGGCGTATAACAACACAGATTTCACGTTCGAGTTGAAAATTCGGATTTTGGTGCGTTGACTTATCTGGTTGGATCTCCATACGTTTCGTAAACTCGCAAAGGCAGCCCTAGCCTTCTTGATTCGTGCACCTATGTCGCTCTTGGTCCCGCCGTCCGACGCTTTTTGGCTGCCAAGATATTGGAAATTTTCGACCTTCTCCACTGCTGCTCCACTACCGTAAAGTTGGAAGGGTTGCCCGTGTTGATATCCAACGATTTGGTCTTGTTGACGCAGAGGAGCGTTCGGCTAGGTCATTGAGCTTACTCTGCATATCAGAGCGCCGTTGTGCTAGTAGAGCTACATCATCAGCCAAATCGAGTCGTTGAGATGCTCCATGGTGATAGGCTGCCAAAGCAGCCCACGGTTCGGTACACGGTCAATTTCACCTACCATGATCTCGTCGATTACGATGAGAAACAGTAGCGGTGATAGTATACATCCTTGTCTCACACCAGCGACTACCCAGATAGGGTCGGACAAGGCTCCGTTATGCAGAACTCTGCACGTGAAAGCCTCATACTGCGCTTCGATGAGGTTGACGATTTTATCCGGGACTCCCTTGCGTCTCAGGGCGCCCCACAGATTCTCGTGATTGAGACGGTCGAAAGCTTTTTCGTAGTCAATGAATACCAAATAAAGGGACTCTTGGAATTCATTGACCTGCTCCAGGATTATGCGGAGCGTGACAATATGGTCCACACAAGATCTTCCGGCACGGAATCCTGCTTGCTGCCGTAGGAGAGTCACGTCGATCTTCTCCTGTATCCGATTCAGGATAACTTTGCACAGAACTTTGAGAACAATACACAGTAACATGATGCCTCGCCAATTGTCGCACACAGTCAGATCCCCCTTCTTTGGGACCTTCACTAAAATGCCCTGCATCCAGTCGGCCGGAAAAGTCGCGGTGTCCCAGATATTACAGAATAGTTGATGCAACATTTGTGCGGATAGCATAGGGTCAGCTTTGAGCATCTCTGCTGATATGCGATCGACCCCTGGAGCCTTGTTGGATTTCATGCTTCGGATAGCTGCTTCAATTTCCTGCAGTGATGGGGCCTCGGAATTGACGCGAGTGATGCGCCGCACCCTAGGCGGATCATGCCGAGATGTTGATGGCTGGTTGGCCGTCGAAACTTGAAGAAGTTGTTCGAAGTGCTCAAACCAGCGTTTCAGCTGGTCAGTGGGTCGGTAAGCAATTGTCCAGGCGTGACCTTCACTGGCATCCTCGGGTTCATCCTTGCTCCACTCAGGCGTCGTGAGATATCGTAGAGGAGGCGTATATCGCCAGTGTTTGCGGCTTTCTCCCCTTCGTCGGCCAGGGAGTTCACCCACGCTCGCTTGTCCCGTCCGCAAGAGCGCTTGACTTCCTTCTCTAGAGCCGAGTACCGTTGACGGGCTTCGTTCTTGGCACCTCTGGTTCTCGCCCGCTCTATCGCGGCTTTTGCTTCTCTACGCTCCTCAATCTTCCGCCAGGTTTCATCTGTGATCCACTCTTTCCTCTGGGTGCGCAGCTCACCCTAGTTGTTCTCGCTTGTTTCTATAAAGGCATTCTTGATGGCCGTCCATTGTTCTTCTACGCTGCCACCTTCTGGAACGTCCGCAGCTCGAGTCTCAAGTTCTTCAAACAAAAGACCTTTTTTCTGCTGGATCTTCAAGTCGTCGTGTGTTGAACCGCCGCCCGAGTCTCTCCTCC